GGGTCAGCTGGAGCCAGACCATCCACTGTGGTGACCCCTAAAGGAAGCAGCCAAAAGAAAGAGTAGAATTAAATTGTTTTATTCAAATAGATGGCCATTGAGATTGAGATCTTCTTTTCAACAAAGGGCATACAGTTTAAGAGCACAAAGTCACAATGACACAGTATACACGCTCAGAAATGAAAAAAGCTATGTACAAGAGGTCCCTTTAGGGGTTGCCAAAGCAACCCTAAAGGGACTTGTTGTAAATGAGAAGACAGAAGGAAAAAGAAAAAGTACAAGAGTAGTTGCAGATACACAAATATAACATTTTAAAATGCTCCAATGGAATCAGATAACTTCATAGTTTTTTTTTTTAGCTTGTTCCATCTGTGTGCAGGAAAGTATTCAAATGTAGTTCTTCCATAGTTTGCTGTGGGTAAAAGGTACAGCCAAGGTAACAATGTCCTGTGAGCTGACATTTAAAGTCCTATGTTTAAATTCAGGCAAAGAGCAGAGATAACCAGGCGATCTTTGTGGAGTCTTGCAAATAAACCCCATACAGTGCTGTTTAAGATCTCTAGTACAAGATGAGAACAGGACCCTCTGTGATGAAATAGTGATACATGAAATCAACATAAACCACACCTTACTTTTTTCTGCTGTTTTGTATTTCAAATGAACTTTCCTTTATATTTTCCTTTCAGTTTGTTTCCACAGTTCACTTTTACTTCATTTTTCATTAGTTTCAGATTCAGTCTTTTTAATTCTTATAATATGTTGGGTGTTTCTAGTAAGTAGACTATTACAAAACAAACGTCACATTGTGATGGCAGTTAACATGAAATCATGAAGAAATGTGGGGCTTGTTGACAAATTTGACCAAAATTACACAGATGAAAACGTGGGACATTTCCTGTTTGATTTATGTATTTATTTATTGTTAGTGTGTTTTATGAGAGTGCTTTACTTTGTTTTTATTGGTTTTCAGAGTCAAGGTTTCATTTTTATTTGAGTCAACTGAAATTCTATCACGCCTACTTTTAGTTTTCAGTTGTCTTTTTGCTATCAATATCCTCACTTTGCATGCAACATGGCCCCTGTTCACATTATAGTAATTATTTATCGTCACCTTAGATCGTGTTATTATTAATTATACACGTGGCAAGTATTAAACAGCTGACTGCATTTAGCAAATGCTCTGTTTAAATGCAGAATTTATTAAAAATACAGTAACTGAATGTGCTCATCTAATTCTATTTGCAAACTGCAGCTGTCAGATATTTTCCTGTGACATGCATGTGGCGCAAGACAAGCATAAAACAGCATGAAATCAGTCTCTTAATTGTACAGCTCAGTGCACACCAACTAAATTACTTACAGCCACTTTTCACTGCCACTGTGCTCGACATGATACAATCAAATATGAACCTATTTAGGAATATGCACCAAATATTGAAACAAGGCACAATCTGCTTGAAAACACGCATGTCATTTAATTTATTGTCATCCTGTATGACTGCATATTCACAAAAAATATGAAGTTAAATGAGCTCACAACAAACACAGGATGTTTGGGACAGCTGGGCGGTCTATAATCACTCTGGCCCAGCAGTGTCAGCAACCTATTTCCTGTGCAAACATGCTTATATGTTTGCCACCACTGACCCATTTTTATGCACACAAACACTGTATTGTGTCTCAGCTGATTTCACTCAATGAGATGTATCCACAGCTGTAAATGTATCCTTTAATAATCTTCTAAAACTGTCATAAGGACAGATTTTATGACAGAGGTGTGATATACATAGATGAAAAAACACTTTCTGAGTCACCAGTGTTTAGCTTTAAGAGTGTACTTTTATGTTGAAATTATCAGGGAGGAAGTAGCTCCTATTGAATACCATCCTGGGCAGGTTACTGCAAAAGGTGTCTAGTTTCTTAGGTGAAGTCTTTTAGTTATTGCACCTTTATTTTGGTACTTTATTTATGGATGCAGATCATTTAAAAAAATATTATTAACAAAACAGATGTTCAGGTGTTATGTTGTTTGCTGTGGCTTTAACTCAGTAGATCTGTACTATGCTATACTTTAAAGTAAGGAGATCACTTAAATGTGACGTTAATATTTTCTCTTTCTCTCTAACACATAAGACAGGGGAAATAAAAACTAACGAAGACATATTTTATCTTGACCTACAATGGATTGTTGTGTTTTTCTGTTTTGTTTTTGCTTTTTACTTCTCTAGAGACCCGAAATCCGTTGTTTATTTCTTGTTTGATGGTAAAAACGTTAAATTATATTGCCAGGTATGAGTATAAAGTTTGAAGCTATTTGTGAAATACATATCTAAAATTGTTAAACAGCGACATCTAATGGCAGACGGCCTGCAGTGCATGAGGAGCGTGTGCCTGTTTATAGAAAACGTCTTTTTTACGGTATCATAAAGGGAAATCGGTTAAAAATCACTGGATATTTACACAATAAACTTACATTTCCTCGAGTCTATCCCTTCTGTCACTGAGCAAAGGCAGGATATACCTTGGACAGGTCACTAGTCCATCAATTCAGACGTAGCCACACTTACTGACATTTCAGAATCACAATTTAATCTAACATGCCTTTGTACTGAAGGAGGAAGCCAAAGCACCCGCAGAGAATCCAGCCAGCAGAGTCGAGGCATCAGACTGCATGACAGTGTTAATTTGGCACAGTCACATATTCCTTCAGTCTGCGATTACAGTAACAAACTTTTGGAGTTGTGAAAAAATGTACCCATATGTGCTAAAAATGAAAGCTGTCTCAATATTACATTTTGCAATTTGAAAAACAAACAAACAAACAAACATAAAATCACACTGTATCACTCCTACCCCTTTTCTGCGCAAGTCATTCATGTATCAGTGATAATGGTGTTATGCACTAATGAAAACTAACGGAACTGAACCGTGTAACCAAAAAGTGATTTGAATGGAGATGAGACTTCATGACAAAATTAAGAAACCAAAAAAAAAAGAGCAAAAGTCAGCTATTGTGGTTGTAGATATATGCTAATGGCTGCAAGTGTAATAATGTAATTGTGAATATAACACAACGCACACATAATGTGAACAGCTCCATGACTGGATATGCTAGAATTTCCGTGTCAGCAATTTTAAATTTGAAAAGTCTCTCAGTTTTAACATCCAAAGTTTAATAATAAATATTTATATAAACCAAGAGCACCACACACATTTTTGTGTGAGTTCCCCTTATCTAGAGATTTTCTACCAGTCTGCCGTGGTGAGAACGGTATGTTGTGCTCTGGGAGCAGCATTGGAGCAGACTCAATAAAGTAATTAGTGAGTCTTACTCTGGGATTTCCTGCAAAGTGGGAAAACACTTGAAGTTAAACAAACTGTTATCCATCATGGGCAATACTGAAGGCCCTCTGCATCACTGCACAGACAGCAGAATCAGCTCTGCTGCCACAAGGACAGACACAGAAAAGTTTTCATACGTCATGCAATAAATCTACAATGCAACCTTGAACGTACTGAAATTGAGCATGAGCTACAAGAGTACAAAAAAAAGGCTAACTATGCGTTTTCATGCTCATGTTTTTCATTCCCCTCTTTTCCAATCTCTCCTTCTGTGCTCCATGTTTCTTCTAGAGGAGTCAGCATTATGCCGATTGACTCCACTAGAAGCATGTAAAGGCTTTACAGAAAGAAAGAGCAAGCCCACATGCACTTACCCTTTTCGGTGCTCACCATGAACCCTGCAGAGTCACGCCTGAGAGGTCCGTCAGCTCTCTTGTGTTTGCTGTGACTTTGCTGCTCAAGTTCAATGCATGTTCACTGACGGTTCGCTGCAGGCCGAAAATGACCTTCAGGCCACCGGGAAATGCTCTGACAGTTTGCAGGTTTTGAAGAACCTCACACATCTATTCTCTGAAAAGCAGAAATAGATCTTTAAAGAATGATTTAATTTCACTGCAATTTAGAAATGCAGCTGGTGAGACAAAGTGTGAATATGTGTTTATGTGTTACTGTTTAGATCTCCTCTAGTGAGCAGAAGAGCTCACAAAGATGCAGGAGAGATGTGTGCAGTCTGTGTCTGTATAGCTATTTAATATGACTGTATGCATTCAGACTCATACTGTACCAAGACTGATATAAAAGCTAGGAAGTGGCAATAAAAACTAAAAACCAAACTAGGTGTAAAACCTTTGCAATTAAAATTTCAAAAACTAGAAAAGATAATAGTCAGGTGCATTTCCCTTAATGTCTTGATATGATATACATGCATATTCAAATACAACTAAAAAACACTGAAACAAGAAGCTCGCCCTCGAAACTAAATTAGGAGAAAAGTGAAATGAACTTCAAGAAAAATGCATGTGTGTGTGTTTCTGTGTGTGTCTTTTTTATGTGCTGCAGAGCTAATGGCAACCCAACGAAAGAGACGTCTCTCTTCTGTATTGAAAATGTCAAACATGCACCATTACAGAATCTCTTAATCCTTTTGCAAGTGAGAAACTGAGCGCATCAGACACCAGACATACAGTTATATAAAATGTGCTTCTCCATTTCTGGAAGAGAAAAAAAGAGACAAACAGTAAAAATAATCATCTAATCCACTGTCGTCCTAAATGTCTTACTACTTACATGGTAGTATTCAGTTCATGAAGGCACTAATAGGTCAGGAGGTGCAGGTAAATAGAGCAGGCAGTAAGCAACACTTGCAACCCTGCAAGACTAACGTGTCGCAGAAGCTCTGCAAATAAGGCATTGAGCCCAAGGCTAGCTGCACCTCACTGAGTGTGCAGTCACAACAAGCAAAGTAAGTAGTTTCTTGACCAGTTAAAGTTTGAGACAGACACCAGATCGCAGCAAAACACATCTCTTCATGTATCATAACAACGTTCTCTCAGGTGGCAGTTGCATGGGGGATGTGGATGGGTGGCATGCATTAATGATATTCATGAGCAGAAGTCTGGAAGGACTTCACACAGAATATTCAGATTAATTAAGAGAGGGAACTCTGAAGTCCAGTGATCAGTTTGTTAATTACTCTATCTTATGTTTATGAGTTTATCAATTACCTGTACATAACTTATAGTTAACTATGCCACATCATACCTGAGCATTTTAATTCTGCTGTGCTTTTTAGCTCTCATATTTATATGGTTTCTGTTCTGATAATCAAGACATAAGGCACTCTGCAGATCTGCAGTAATATGCACAGCGAGACAGTAAAATACAAGGTTGTGACTGGAGTACAAATACTTTAGTTTTCCCATTTTGTGTGAATTTAGGCTATACTTCCTCTGAATTATACCTCAAAGGGAAATAATACATATTTTGTACAGAATACGGTACATTTCTATAGATTAAAGCACCGAAAGACTGACAGGTAAGATATTTTTGTGCTGCAGAGTGGTGATAGAGTATTGATGATATTTTAAATACATGTTGCCGGTGACATTTACATAATTTTATTCAAGTAAGGTTTTGAATGGAGTCTTTTTATGCATTTGACATGCTCACAGGCAGCTCAAAGGAAGAAGTTTTGACACAGCCAGGTGAGACTGCCAAAAGATGAAGCTGTGCAAGCAGAGTGGAACAGGAGAGATGAAGGTAAGAGAGTCCAGTTGAAAATCACAATGTGGTTTGCTTTAGTCTGCTCTACTTGCCTGCATTTTTGTAAAAGTCATGCCACTAAAGGTGGAGCAGTAGACAGAATTCCTATTAAAGCTTCAGGTGCTGAACTGTGAATTGTAATTCACCCACAATGCACAAAAGTTCTACACGGGAAGCAAAGCACGCCTGTGGGGGGAAATAAAGGTGGCGACTTACCTGGAAAAGTTCAGTGCTTCTTAATTGAAGTTTTGACAAAACTCCTGGTGGAAATGAGTAAAGGTTTTGGAGTCTCGAAAGGAAGGAAAGCAGCTTCAGCGACCAGGTCACAATGCTACAGGCACAGGAGAGAAAGCTGTGATGGTACCGAAAGCGTAGTGATTCTGCTGCTTTGACCTTCATGTCTCAGCTCTCACACTGCCACAGAAAATACACAAAATATAGAGAAGATCCCTCAAAACCCTTTCCGATGATTATTTAAAAAACAGGTTAAATGGGCCCCTTTTTCTGCACACATGAGATCTGATCATGAGACTATTTCCATATTTCAGCGCCAGTGCTGACTCACACAGACCTGTCTACGATTCACCAGACTGTAATTCAGATTCTCCCAAAATGTTAAAAGGGGTTGACTTTAGTTTGCTGCCTCTGGCTGCTTTTAGGATTATTTCCGATGAGCAGAACTGTGCTAAGGGGGCCTGCTACCTGACCTGCATGTAAACCGCTTTGCAAATCAACACCTCGTACCCCAAAGGGCTGTTAATAAAATTCCTTAAAACCGTTTGTTCCATCTACGAAAAAAATCTGTCCAGAATTAAACATAGACAACAATATTGTTAGAATATGAGCGAATCATATGAACCATATGAAGGTGAGTGACCTTCATATAGTTTCTGTAACCTGGAGGATATTGGACAGGCTGTGGAGGATGGAGGATTTAAACAGGTTCAAACTCGCTTGAATACTTTTGTATTATTTTAATTTTGCTCATTAGGCATAAATCTGAACATAATGAATAACATTTGGTCAACTTTGATAATCAGGCAGTGAACATAAAGGTCTAAAACAGGGATAATTACTGATGGATATTTTCAGAGGCCTTGAGAAAGATATGAGTGAGAAAGACAAGCTATAAACAGGGGTACAGAAAAGCAATGATATGAGTTATAACTGTAGAGATGAGACTAAAGTTTTGCTTTTCTTCCTGGTAATTACAATATAATACAATTAGCTTGGGTTCTGCTGAAAACAAGCAGCAGGAGGAGCAGCAATAAAGGCTGCTGCTGTACTAGGCTTCTATTAGTCGATCTCCTCAAATGAAAAAATTCAGCATAGCATTGTTAATTCTGTCAACCACACAATTGCTGCAGATTTTTTGGTGGCACATCCATGACACAAGTGTCCCGCTCCACCACATCACAAGGAACTCTACTGGACTGGGATCTGGTGACTGTACAGTGAACAACTTGTTGTGATCAAAAACTAGTTTGAGATGATTAAAGCTTTACCAACTGGCGTGATATCCTGCTGGAAGGAGCCCTCAGAAGATTTGATCATCAAGGAATGGTCGGCAACAATACTCAGATAGGCTGTGGGATGTAAATGATCCTCATATTTGCTTTGCTTGGCCTAAGCAAATATGTCCCACAACATTACTCATCAGCCTGATGTGCTAATCAGGCTGATCAGTGCTTAATTTTGACCATGATCTGAATGTTGCACTAGAAATTAATGTTTTAATTTTCCAAATTAGGTGAATTAGTCTGATAGTTATTACAGCTATCATAGTTAATAATCACCTATTCTTAGTTGTCAGGAGTGGCACTCGGCATGGTCTGCTGCTGCTGTAACCCATCTGCTTTAGGGTTAGATGTGTTCTGCATTCAGATATTCTTTTCTGCGTACCTTGGATGTAAAAAGTGGTTTATTGAATTCCTGTTGCCTTCCCATTCTCCTCTGAACTCTGAAATGAGCAAGGAATTTCTACCCAAAGACCTGCTGCTCACTGGACGCATCCTTTTTCTCACCAGCCTCTTTAAACCCTAAAGATAGTGTGGGGGAAATCCCAGATCAACCATGCTCAGTTTGAACTTCATGAGGTTGCCTTGACCATGTCTACGTGACTAAATGCTTTGAGTTGCTGCCATGCAATTGACTGATCAGATACTTATGTTAAAGAGCGTGCCTAGCAAAACGGCTGACACGCACAAGCAAACAAAATGTGCAACTGTGTGCGAAAACAGACTGACTCACATTTACAAATTATGTCTAATTAGGTGAAAACGGTTAAATGTTTAGACAAAAATATCCTAAAGAAATTCAGAGAAACTGTAATATGTATAATAAAGTTTATTTATGCAGCACTTTTTTAAACAAAGATACAAAGTGCTTCGCAGAAACAAATTAAACAGAAAGCATAAAAATGTGGAAATGAACAGAATATTAAAGACATTCATAAAAGCTTTCAGTAAAAGGAAGTTTGAAGCAGACAGAGTCAGTCAATATCTGCAGAAGTGATTACTGTATCAAAGTTATATGCATTGATCCCAACTACTATAGAGGACATGACCTCTTTAATCATTAGTGCATAATATGGAAATAAGTAGCCTAGTAATGAAATGAAAACACATTTTTTGTACCTTATATTGTTGTGGTTAGAGGAATTTTGCCTGTTTCAAGAATGACAACGAAATATCTGAGGTAATATTGGACCTCAAGTAGACTGTGGCACTTCTCACCCTCGGTTATTTAAAGATTTGAAGGGCCAGGTCACCCAGATCAATAAAAATACTGGCGATGGCCATACACAGTACATACACCTGCACCTTACTATAGTGAAGTATCTCAGCGTTACGGCAGTTTGACCAAAACAGAAAATCCTGAATATATAACTTGAAATATGAAAACTGTCCTGGACCTCAATTCATTAGGTTGAACACGATTCAAAAACAGTCCAGCAGCTTTGAAAAGTTGCATCACCAAAAGGGGTGAAAGCTGGACAGCACAAAACTGGGACTTCAATCATAAAGCTGCAGAATTGTCTTTGCACTATAACGTGGTTAATGTGACATAACAACTTCAAACTCTGTGGATTTGTCTTGTGCAACGTCTCCAGATTGTTATTACACAACAGAAATCACCTCATGCTTTTCCTTTTCCTTATAAAAAGACTTTCCTGTTGTGACCTTATCAGTTACCTGTTGTTTTTTGCAATGTCCACATGATTAGAAAAGTAATTTGCATGTACAATCTCTGCAGAATGATAAGGAAGGAATGAGAAACGTCATGGTTCTTATTAAGGGAAAAAGGTCACAGCAAATATAAAGCTGCATTATTTTATTTGTATCTAATAAAGGATCAATCAAGGCTAAACTCATTGCATCATTTTTGAAAAACTGATGATTGTAATACAAGAATTATGATTTTAAAATTGCAATTGGCAAATATAACTCGGTTTGTGGACAAAGAGCATATTTTGTGTTTTTTGGCTTATACAAAGGATAGTGTTAACATTTATGGCAGTTTTTCCCCTCTGACAGGATTTTAAAATAATCTCAAATGCTTTTTTTCCTTCATTTGCCATTAGTTAAGACTGCAGTTAAGTCTCCATTCAGTCACTTCACTCTATTGCTGGGTTCAGATAGGTGAAGCACTGCAGAATGATCAGGAAGGAATGATATACTGTGGAAAAAGAGGCGATCTACCTCAGTAAGCTTACTGGCTCTGAAGCCACTGCACTCTCAGTTCCTCCACCTCTTTGCCGTACCAGTCATGGAGTTTGGAGAAGCAGCCGGTTCCAGGGCATACGGGGCTTTCCAGAGATGCACCTTTTCTCCGGGGAGGCACAGGCGGAGCCCTCGCTCCATCAGCTCCGTATCCAGTGACATTTGCAGGGTCCCCGGAGCTTTCCCATACCGCACAGGATGAAGCTCCCTCCACAAAGCCGTTAGCCAAGGCAGCTGGTGGTTTACTCCATGCAACACCATTCTCCTTGGAGGGCCCAGAGATGAGCTGCAGCTCATCCTGTTGGTTCTTCTGGGCAGAGAAGGAGGCTGACATGGGAGGGACACTTGATGATGACGATGATATGGAGGACGAGGAAGATGAAGAAGAAGATGCTCCAGACCTGGACCGTCCCATATGGTTTCGCTTTGAGGACTTGGGCCTGCCCTGCAGGTTTCCAACTCCAGCCCCAACAAAGCTGCCTCCGGCAGCCTCCTGGATCTCCTCCAGCTGCCTCTCCAGCTCTTTCACCACCAGCCTCATGTAGTCAAAGCTGGCCCTTGACAGCGCTTTCACCCAGGACTCCATGGCTGCTTGGTTCTCAGCAGCCATCTTGTACACACGAGCTTTGGCGCAATCAAACTTGATGGCAAAGGCGAACTCCTCGGTCGACTCACACAGCTCCACGGTGCATCCTTCAAGAACGATGACGCCAATGGGCTCTCGGCTGTCGCGCTCTTCGAAGTAGAAGAGCATGTTACCCTTCAGGACAAACCAACGGCGGTGATAAGCAGTGTTGCGCTCCCCCTTTTTGAACAGGAAGCCCGTCTTGTCTGGTGGTGAATCACAGGTGGCGTAGTGCGCCACGCTGCGCTCGTTCAGCTTCATCTTCTCCCCTCCTCCGTTTCAGATTTATTTACCTAAGAATATTACAAAGTCAGAGGTCATCACAAGGTTAAATTTATCAGCTCATACTCAAAAGGTACAACAAGAACCTGCATAGTGTACTTCCTGCCAACTTTAACTTGTGCTTATCTATGTTTGCTGAAAGAAAAAAAAAAACCTTTATCACAGTACCATACTAAATTGTGGTTCACTGACACTGTAAAGTAGTTATAATAAGTTCTTCAATAACAGTCTATTTGCATTTCTCCTTTCAGAAAAGGTCAGAGCCGTGGGGCAGGAGTTAAAAACGAGTGACTGAATTTTGCACTCTTGGGAACTTTAGAAAGGGCACATGCTTGCAAAGTGGACTTCAACCTATTCCTGTTCTTCTTCTCCCCGCTGAGACATCCTGCCAATGTAAACACTGTCCATTTACTTTGTTTTGCCTGTCATAACACCAACAGAGCGCTGTAGCACACATAAATACTGCAACCCCCTGCAGGTGCAAGACAAATTGAAAGTCTAACTTGCACAGCATGGACAGATTAGTGCATTACATGCCGTTTAATCACATGTTGAACTGTAAACTGGGGCTCAGATTACCTCCTGCTAATCCAATTTTACTCTTGTTAGGAAACAGAAGTAAGGCACTTTATTATTTTGATAGTAGTTAATAGCTTGTTTGTATTATAGCTTTCGCTTTTTGGTAATGAAGCTATTATCTGAGGACCATGAGAGTAAGGTGGAAGGGAAACTTGTCTGGGAGGCAGTGGAAGTCATTGAGGAAGATGTGGTGGAAGATCGGGCTGGAAAAAGGAAGACAGTGGAGCGTAGGAAGGTGGTGGAGCAGGATGTCCACCTTGGTGTATTCTCTGTAGCTCCTTGATGGTCAAGCAAGGCTCCTCCGAGTGCTCGAGATTCCTTCATTTTCTAGTCCTTGAAATTCTACAAATGTTTTTTCTTTTCTTTTTCCTTTTTAAAATTTAAACTAGATGTGTACTGCCTTAGGATACAGGGGAAACCCCACGTCGATAGTTTCCCCAAAATGGGCATCAATACCCCATCAGACAAATTCACCTTTGCACATGCTATAACTCATGTTTCTTATTTTCTTCCAACATCAGAATAAAAACAGGAGAAACCAATTAAAAAGCTCAGATGTATGGGCTACTCCCTGTCAGGTTCACTGAGTATGCACTAAGTTTATTATAGTTCATTAAAACTATAATAACTTAGATATGAAACAGTATTTTAGTTAACTGAGATATAAGTACTTTCCAAAGGTCTCTAGTCACCCCACATGTCTATATATATTTTGCAAGGACAATGGTAAACAGTTGCAGTGATTTACTGAAACATGCAAACATGACAGGAAATACAGCTTATACAGTGTCAAAGACATTCAGAGCTCCTCTCTGGATGTTGGCTGCCTTTTGTTGTGTTCTTTGTTAAGATCATTGTTTCAGTAATCGCTAATAATTGCTTCCATCAGACCCGTTTCCACTGATTTTCAGTTCTTCTGTAATTTGGCATTCCTTTGCCTTTTGTGTTTCCCTTCCTTAAAAAAATGGCTTATTGACTGCCATTCTTCCACTGAGGCCATTTCTGATAAGGCTTCATGGAAGAATAGATGGATCAACTAAAGAGCCAGATGCATCCCTCAGATCTTGTGTCAGATTTCTTTTCTGTTTCTTTGGAGCACTGTTCATCATTTTTAGATACTGTTCATCTGCCGTAGTTTTTTTTTTTTTTTTAAACCTGCCTCTTCTTCTTTTTTCCTCCTCTTGTCCAGTTTCCTCATGTGCTTTAGGGACACACTGTATACCATGCTTTCAGCTAATAGCTCTTTTGGAATCAACCTTTGGTGCAAGCATGTCATTTGTGTGCCTTTCAGACTGTTATCTTTGGCATTTTTCACAGATTCATATGAGGAAATGGGAACAAATTAGGTGTCTTTGCAACAGCCTGCTAGTAACAAATTTCCTGACGACACAATTTAAAATGGGTTCTTTGCCAAGTTGTCAGACAAGTTGTAGACAGAACACTGGTTCATCCTTTGAGTCAGGTGCCTTTTTTATGCTTTAATGACTCATAGGTTAGTGTTAAGTGACCTAACAAACAAGTAAAAGACTTCCCTGAAAATGAGTGAAAAAGAGCCAAAGAAAAACTTTGAGAGACATTCGGAAAGCCTCGACAGCCAATGCTCCAGACCATTTAAAAAAAGAAAGGAATAACAAAAGTGTTTGTAACACAGATTCTTAACTTCTACTCCTGAAAAATTAATATGCAAGTAAGGAAAAAGTATAAGTAAGAGTTTAAAACAGCTGAAATTAGACTAAAAAGAAAATAAAAACATGTCTTGCTTACTGACCGTCCAAACAAAACCCATCCCTCACTTACGTGCTTGTCTCATATCCAGCCGACATCCACGTCCGTCCTCCCATCACATCTGGAGCTCTTAACTGAACAGTCTCCCACTTCTTCTGACTTCTTCGCCCTTCTCGACTAAATACTAAAAAAAAGACCAAAGTAACGAGTTTTATTTCACGTTTATTTTACACTCAGGAAGCCGCATAAACGACAGAATCCAAGAGGAAGCGGCCAGTTCAGCGTCCTCGCTCGTTTTAGACGTTAAGAGGATTATTAGCCGCAAGTTTTTTCCACCGCTTCGTGCTTTTTTTGGAGCGAGTGATTCAGCATCAAGGAGGGCTGACTGGTCACAAGCATTTGACACATCAGCACTTTACAGGAATTCGTGCTGGCCTTCAGTAACACAGCGAGAGCAGCACGAACGAGCGTGCTTGAAGGCACATCTCTCAGTGCCAACTAGCTTCACGCCTTTAGCCTCTTTCGTGGAAACAAACATGCATCCAACGTCTATCCAGCCGGCAGACTGCAGACGAGCTGCTAGAGGTGGACTCTCACAAGTTAGGACAATATTATAATAACCAGCTAAGTGTTAGTATTCATTACCTGCGCGTAAACAGAAAACCTCCCTCTTCTTCCAAGCGGATAGTCCCACAGTTTTTTTTCCTTTTTTTGCTTTTCCCTTTCTCTCTTCCTCGCCTCTTTCTTTTTTCTTCTTTTCCCCCGGTCACGTGACACACTAACAGAGCGCGCGTTGTGCCTAACCCCGCCAGCTTGACAGGGCGGGGTGATCACTTAACTTTAGCTCTCGTGCCATCCTGGTGAAACAGCCGTCATCCGGATAAGCAGTAATATAAAACAGGCGCGCCTGTCTGTGCCCTTGGAAAGGTGGCTGCTGTCTTCTCCACCTGCACGGATGGAGCATTGCTGAATATACAGGTCTGTGCAAAAGTCTCGAGTCACCTGTCATTCCTTTATATTTAGGGTTTAAATAGAGTTTGTATTTAAAAAGAAAATGTATTGAACAATAATTCACCTGGATTTCCTAAGGTCTTTCAAAGTTCCTCTTTATGTCTTTATGCCTGACCATTTTCATAGACATTATTTTTGTTTATTGGGCAACTTAACACTGAGCTATGAATCATTCAAGCATGAAAAAGGCACCTAACTCAAGGAATTAACCAGTGTTGTGTCTACATCACAAACAACTTGGCAAAGAACCGGTTTTAAAATGTATCTCTTTAGGCACTTTGTTACCAGCAGCCTGTTGTAAAACGATATAATTTGTTCCCATTTCATTAATTATATCTACCTGAAATACCAACAATAACACAGTTTGAAAGGCTTCAAATAGTATTTGGTACTAACAACGTGATTCCCGTGACACTTTGTGCAGTGTGGCCTTAAAAAATGGAGGAAATTGGACGAACGGAGAACAAAAGATGATCTGACAGGCCTAAAAAAAACTCTCTATAAGTGATATCCTTAAGAAAAAAATCTAGCAACAGGATCCTGAGAGATCCCTTCAGATGATCCAGCTAATGTTTGGAAATGGTCTCAGTGGAAGGATGGCTGACACGAACCCTTTCTTAAGCAGGGAGAAAAGGCTGAGGTATGCCACATTTCACAAGAACTGGACTGAAAAGCAATGGCAACAGGACTTGTGGAGTGATGAATCCAAATTTGCTTCAGTAATACTGATGCAGTGATCTTGACAGACAAAAGACACCCAACATCCAAAAGACTCCTTTAAGAAACCTGGTTAACTATTCCTGAAGAAATAACAAGAAAGCCTTTCTAACCGAGTTCAGGCTATGATGCACAGCAAAATTGATCATATTAGACGTCAATTTTTAAGCTTGTTGAAATTTGTAGGGTTTTTTTTTCTCCCTTATTTACTGGATTTTCATGTATGCTTGCACATATTTTAATTAATCACTGCAAGTGTTTCCCATTTTCACTGCAAAACATAAATAAATTGGTGACTTAAGACTTTTGCATGGTATTGCATTAATCTGAAACATTGTTTTAAACAGTCAGTAGCTTTTCGGGATTCATGTGGTCCTAAGAGTAGCTGTTTTTACTCTAGACATTATCTGGTCTCTTGATGTGGTCTGACGTGGACTAAATGGAAAATACAAACACCAGCCTCACTTCTTGTGTTTTCACTCTTTCTCTGTAAATCTAATATACTTTAACAAGTGTCTGAATAACATATTTTGTTAATCATATTTCAAGTAAAATAATCACATATTATGGTAATTACTGCCTCAGGATTCAAAATATATTTAACATTCTCCAATCAGTAGGGCTATTGGTTCCTAAATTTTTAATATTGTAACTAAATAATCATAGCTTTGTTATATATCAGTAACACATTCATTATAGTATCATAGCACCACGAGCATCTTTAGTTTGTTCTGCTTTGTGAAAATTTGCACATTTACTATAATTACAACATAAGGCACCCCGGGATTAAATGCAAGTAGTTTTTTATTGTCACGGCCTGATTCCCATTCACTTGGGCTGCAAACAGCTGCCCAGCTCTGTTGCAGTCCTTTCATGGAGAGCCCTGCTTGAGGGCACTCCAAAAGGCAGAGTTAAAGATATCTTTTTCTCATGCACATTCTTAGCAGAGCTTTCCAGTTCATGCATTTGAACTTATGATGTTCCCCTCTGTCCTCTAGGCCACCGCTGCCCTGTTCCTGTAACCCTGTCACTTTTATGGCACTGAGCTGCTGGCCGCGGTCTGTTTTTGTATGACCATGACAAGCCACCATGAATTCATCTGAATTATTCTAATGAATACGATATTCTGAATATCTTCGGGAGACAGCTGATGGCCTTTAGCACTGCCAGCCTGCTATCTCATCACACTAATCTTCAATTAACTGATGCAGCTGCTGATGCCATTTTCTGTCATTCTCTTTTTGAAACGTTTGCTCTCACTGCTTTTTGGTAACTTTGATGAAGTGTGACGCTCTCGGAGGCAGTTTAATTTCCTCCGTTGGGCTCCCGGTTCACAGAGGCTCAACATATCCGTTAGATAAACGCACAAGAGGACAGCTTTTAATAGAGAATACAGACATAAAATCAGCACTAAAAGTATTGTTAGGTTTAAAGCACACACACACACGCACACTGACCAAGTGCAAAGTGTTTACTTCTCACAGGTTATTTCCCAACAGTTTGTGGACACACAATAAAATAACACAAACAACTTTTTGAGACCCACAATAAAATAACACAAACAACTTTTTGAGACATTCCAATCAGCTTTAAAAGCGATTCATTGCTGAGTCAGTTTAGTCCTTAATTCAGTATCTGAACAAAGAGGTGAGGTTTACAAGTGTGTGCGATGCCTCTAATCTAAATGTATCAAAGGGGGTGTGCTAATAAAAAAAAGTTGCTCACCAGCAATCATGTTTACATGAAATACCTGTGAATGCCTCTCATCTAACCTCCCAGAAAAGCTATTTTTGTGTGCAATATCTTCAGCATACTAAATGAAGTCATGCAACATTTCCTGTTCATACTGTGGATATTTTCTGACTTACAGACCTGAAATGAGTACATGGAGCGGGTGGAAATTTAGTCGCCTTTTAATTCGCCTTATTTTTTTTTACAGCATTTTTTTAGACATCAATGTACTTCTTAAGTACATGAAGTACATGAAATTATCAGAGTGGAAAAACACATTTAACCTTAACCAAATGAATTTTACATCCACCCACTAGAAGAAGTCACATATGAGCATGGTACCAAACTGGTACCAAGCAGACCTTTCATGCTGTTGGTTTTTACCAGTTACACACATGGTGATATCATTAAACTAGAGCCTGACTGATGTAGGACTTTTAAGATACCCGTATTTTCTGATTTAAAAAGTCTGCTATATCGGCCAATATTTTTTTTCTTTCAGACACACATATTTGTTTGTAGTCATTTATTCACTCCTTTATGCCGACTCTGTTCAGAAAGGCTGGTTGTGTTTCTGGCATTCCAAATAAGTTGCAAAGTGCCCTCTTTAGCTTCTCTACGCAATATCAACACTCATACCATATTTGATGGGTGTTTCTGTTACTCTACTTCACAGATGTTATATTAGTACAATTTTTCTGCTGAAACGGTGATTATATTCCATAATATTGATGCTTACAGTTGGTTTTAGAAAAAAATATGGTGAATTGGCTGTAGATGGGGACACTTACAGTGGGTATAGAACTGATTTAATTTCAGCTTTTAACTGAGTTTAGTGCCTTCTCAGTGCTGAAAAGGTCATTTGGTTATCTCCTGTGGTGAAATTGCAAGGAATGAAAAGTGAGTTTTAACTCTTATCTACTCTGATGGCCAGTAACTAATTTTCATTGTACTAAACCTTGCATGATTTCATTTAATATGTAAGTTATTGCATTTTTTTGCTTAGCTGATTTTTTTGGATGTCAGGTGGGAACTTTGACGAGTTTTGACTGATTTTCTATGTATATCCTGTATATATTTGATCTATTTGGAGTAATATTCATCTTGTTACTCTGTTTCTTTATAACTCATTTGGTTTTTATAAGTGCTATATATATATAAAAGTACTTCATCATTTTTTAATTACCTATGACTCATTACCCAGAGCAACATGGAAATTTGTCAGGTTTATATTGACGTCAGGATTGACCCGATGGATGAGGGAATGAGAGGGAATACTATTTAATTCTGTTCTGGAGGGCAGAAAATCCAGCATTCCAGGCCCACTACCAGACAGCCTCTCCACAGAAATGCATAGAAAAACACAGTGATGGCAGGACAAAGTGAAGAGTCAGTCATGCGTTCATTCAGTCCCATGCCTCCCTTCTGATAAAGCACAACTAGGTATTTGGTTTTCGTCACGTTTCATCTCTGCATTATATTTTCCTCCTCCCACTGCAGCCGACATTGTAAAGTTTCTCTAAGTTATAATAGTTAAGTTTTTCATTCATGTAAACACGATTCGGTATGTATAAATAACTCATCTTGCTCTGCCCTGAAAAACATATACCTCGAGGGAATGTCAGCTTTCATCAAAATACCTCTCAGTCATCCAACACAATATCAAAAATATCATCTCTTTAAATGTTAAAGTCTCTGTAGAAAAATGCCTGAAATATACATGTACATTTGTATACAAAAAAAATTTGATGCAAATTATTACTTCTTCAATAACCCTTTAAAGCTGTAACTATGCCACACTGTACTGAATCTCTGCATGTCATTGTGAAATAAACACAGCTTGTATGGCACCAGATGAGCGGATAGATTTTGATGTACAACGAACAGAATGTCTGGACAAGGACCAGTGACCGCATCATCAACCATTTCAAAACACGAGTCTTTCCAAAAACATGCTGTGGTTGTGCATATGGCACGTACTGACATAGCTATTATTTTCTCCTTATCTGCAGTCCGGCAGAGAGCGTTTCGCTCCCAGGCTGAACCGTTGGGCTTTCCAGACACAAACAATTACAATTCTTAAAAGGCAAATTCCATCGGTTGAGTGGAGCTATTGATTTCCATCTGAGCACGCACAAAGCAAAAACAAGTATAGACATCAATCAAATACTGGCTGACATTATTTCACCCCATCTTGTACTGGTTCATCTTTACTTTTGATGATAAGGTTTCATCGGTGTTTGAATCTTTAAATCAACCATTTATATGAATGAAAATATCACCTCCACATCAATAGATTCATCTTTTTGCACACACACAGTGACTACCCTTCCTGCTTTGCCAGTTAGACAGTAACACTGCTCCAGCACAGCTGGTTCCCAGAGGTTGCTTAGTGCACAAACAGCACAAGCACTATGCAAGAGCTATGCAAATGGTGGTGGATGCTTGGCCTCAGCTCTGGCTCTTCCCTGCCTGATCAACCGGGGTCGATCGGTGTATGAAGCAAGCATCCCTTTGTCTCGTATCTCAAGTGTGTCAATGGGCCCTGCAGAGAGAGAGAGAGAAAAAAGAGGAAACATATTAGTGTGAATATCTGGCTGCACAGTGGAGAGCCACTTGACAGAGCAGTCACAGCACTAACAATCACTTTTCATTGACCAAAATGAAAATATGCCAAAGCACAAATGCCCAGTAACACATACACGAGCCATCAAAGTTATTAAGACTGAACAGTCTTGCATTTTTCTTCGTGGATTAAAAAGCCTTCCCTTTTGTGACAGACAATTTGCCCAGACTTGTGGGACTCCTTAAATAGCATTTTTTTCTGTGTTTCTCACTCAAGTCTGAAGAGGTTCAATGAGCAGAGGACCCCATCTGGGCCACTGTGGCTCTTACAGATCTGATCCTGTTGTTGAAATATTGTTTACCTTCCCCGAGTAAGGTGCAGCTGATGCCTCTAACTTTTAACAATCTCCAAAGGAGCGTGAAAGCCTCAGATTAAGTTTGCTTCACCACCAAAGCTTTCTAAGTTGCACCGAGCCATCTCACGGCCTTTGACTCCATGTTACACACATGGCTGCATACACCCATGAGTCTTTTTGCACTCTTTTTCACCTTTTAAAACTCATGCACACATATCCCCTTTAAAATGAAAATAAATGCATATGAGCACGCACATGCATTTTAATAACACACATGCCCACTCACGTTCCCAAATCATCACTTTGCCTGAGTCACTGACAGAGAAGCACCAAGACGAGCCAGTATTCAGGCCTAATGTGCACCAGATTTACTTCTGAATGCTCTGGCGTTTGGCAATGTAGGTCATGTCTATTTGTATTCTAATGAACCCTGCACACAGCATCTCCATTACAGATGTAATGCCTCTGGCACAAAACACCAAAATGATTTGGTTTTCATTTTGTTTAATGCTTCCCCCATACCAATTTAATTTTTCAATGATTGCTATGAAATATAGTTGATTGAGGGAAACAAAAATCAAAGTAAATGATGCATGCAGAATGGGATGAGCAAACAGACAACTGTGTCTCTTGGCAGACTATCACCACAAACAATCAGACCGAGACACAACAGCTAATTAATATTCACTGGCAAAATGTGTCTCACTCTGACACATCTTTTGGGTTTTATCGCACATTGTGCACATGCCAGGTTGGAAAATGGAACGAAGACAATACAGTCAGTGGGAGCACTATAAGCACATGCATTGACTATTATAGCAAGAAACAAATCATAGTAACAGAGCAGAGGGGTGTACTACAAAGCATGATTAATGGGTTAGCAAGCTATGTTAAGCTTAAAGTCAGAGTTTTATGTGTTATAGAGGTGGTTATCACCTGATTAGATCACCATGGCAACTTTTCCTGAACATATAACCTGGTCTGGAGCAGGTTATGTTCTTAAATGTATTTATAATCAGCTGGGATCACCACATTTATGTTGATTTATTTAGTGTGCTTTAAGTACCATTCAGCTTCTCTGCTGAAGGAATGCAACCTGTTAACACTACCAATTGAAGGCCAGCTATAAAGTTACACCAGCACAAACTGTGCTTCGTATTGTCTGTGGTTTTACATTCATTCAATTGGTGATGCAGAAAATGTTTAACTCTGCTTGAATTGCAGCTTCTGGAACACAGAAAATCAATCAGGTGCATTTGTAGGCTATGTATCACCAAGAATACCAAAACAATCAATAAAATGAATTTCACTTTGATCTGGGCACAAAGTAAACTGATTTCCACGTCTCCTTTATTAGGCCGTGGGACAGGTTTGGATTTACAGTTTTACTAAGACTCTGTGTGAGTCTTGGATCCAAATCCTGGACGAGCCCCTGTTTAAGTTACAATAATGTGAAATGGAGACCTACACTTGTAATTGGTCATTCTTAAACTTGGATTGTTTGTTAATTTAAATGAACCCCCATTCATGAGCTCATCCTCTCTTCTGCACTTGTTACTGAAACATATCCAAATTTACACATCAAGCCTTTACATGTAAGGATTTTTCAAACTCATTATGGAACGCGGATGTTTACCAATTCACCCGATAAATGGACTATTGACGTCAGCAGGACGTGGGATTGAAATGTAAAAGCTGTACATGGAGGCGGTGCTGGACGCATAACAATAGGGAGTAAAAGCCATCATCCCTAGAAGGTTTTTTGTCATTCAAAGTCAGGAAGTGCCTGACCTTTTTTTATTAAGCCTACAAACAGGAGTGTTTGCTGTACAAAGTGTCAGATATGCTTTAATAATAGCTACCTCACCCACATGTATATGGAGCTGCATGTGCACAAAGAGAGTGTTATGCATACAGATGCTGCTGAGTGGGAGTAAAGCATCATCCAAGGGGAAAGGAAGAAAGAAATGAAGAAATAGTGAGAGAGAGCATGAGACGGGCGGGGGGAAGAGAGAGAGAGAGAGAGAGAGAGAGAGAGAGAGATGGGTTATAAACAAGAGCTGTGAGCTGTAGGGAGTAGGTCAGTGCATTTGAGTCAGTCCTGACTCATGATGGAGGCGGTGAATATCCACCTCCTCCCTGCCCATTACAACTTCATCCTCAAGCCTGGAGCGCTGGAGCTCAGCTAGCCTTTGCAAAAACTGTGAAAAACTCCTACACCCATGGTCAGAGGAGTAGTGATTTTTGTGTTACAAGAACAATCTGATAATAGGTCATGCATGTATTAAACCAGTGACTGATGAAACACTTTTGCATCGGTCAGCCAGCCCAAATGGCAGAACAGTTTCTCCCACTTCATACTGGCATCCTTCTGTCACACATGTCTGGTAGATTAATACAGAGTAGGTTGAAAGTAATACCAGAAAGGCAGAGCAAATCTCAACACACTGAAACATGTAAACCTAATGAAAGCTAGCTGTAGTCTGTGTGTCCACAAATTCTATAATTTAACGTCCCTTTTACAAAACAAAGTTCATGTGTACCTGCTTCTGTTTTAACTATGTTTAATGGTTGTGAAATTTTATTAAAATGAATAAATTGCCACTAGTGCCAAAACATTTTAAAGGTTAAGAATATAATGATAATCTGTTTTGCAGTGTTGAAGTGAGAGGGCAAAACAAACAAATAATACAAAAAACCATCAACAACATTTTGGAGTCAGCAGACTTAGTTTAAGAGAGAAATATTTTTTGAATAAACATTTAGAAACACTTCAGAAAAAATGGACAATGTGAGCCACTGTGATCTTGTATTGGTTAGTCCTGTTGTGAAACATTAAGCAGAGCACGTGTTCTAGTCTATCCTTACATGCCACACAAAAGGCAGCATGTAAATGTGCAAACATGCTTTTTAGACCAAGGGAAGAAATACTTTTTTTTTTTTTTTACCTCAGATCAGCTGAAACACTCAGTTTATTTAAATCCAGGTTGAAGACTCACCTGTGCTCAGCTGCATTTGAATAAAGCACCAAATCCACACTTTTAAGCTTAAATTTCAAAACTTACATTTAACTACTGATTTTATCTACTGTTCTGATTTTATCTGTTTTGATTTTATATACTGTTTTGTTTGTTTGTTTGTTTGTTTGTTTGTTAATTAGTTAGTTAGTTTATTTGCTTGTTTTAATCAATTTTAAATCATGTTTTTTATTTGTTCTTGTTTCTAATGTCTCTGTAAAGCACTTTGAATCACCTTGTTGTTGAATTGTGCTATACAAATAAACTTGCCCTGCCTTGCCTACTGAAGCACCTAGTCATCCAAGAATTCAGGCTGAATACGTTTTACGTAATGTTAACAACACTTAAAGTATTATCCTTCTTATGTTATCCTGAATTACACATTACCATTTTGTTTAAGACAGTTTGTTCCCACAGGCTAAAATGTTTGCAATGTCTAATATAACGTGCTTAAGCTAATGTAATGTAATTGTAATAATGTAAGCAGGCTTCCTATTTCAGTCAACAAAATATACTGTTAGCTTTTTAGGTTTTGTACTGTTCTTTGTACTGTGCTTTAATATACAGAAATGCCATTTTTGTAATTTTTTTAAATACATGATCATACATTCAAATACATGGGAATATCTTTGTGTTTTCATATCAACATGTGTATTGAGAGCCATGTCATTCTACTGTTTCTGGTATTGACCACCACCTTTCTGGTACCCTGGCAACTTTATGTTGATGTGGCAAAAGCTTATCAATGCCAAAGTAGGCACGCCCTAAAACATACCAGAACTGAGCACTTTTGTCTCTAACAAGGCCCATAATTTACAAAATGTATATCATGTTGTATTCAGTAAGACATCTGAGTGGAAGGTGCAACAGCAAATGGCCACAAATGAGACAGAGTGGGAAAGGAAAAATAAAGCAGATGCCTCCAATGTTTTCAATGTTTTTCTTTTTGTGTTTAGTTATTTGATCACAGTTTTTGATCAGAAACGGGTAAATTTGGTATGCATTTTGGGTGGTATGATGTTTAGCGCTGTCGCTTCACCGCAAGGTTTTGGGTTCAACCTCAGTTGGGGCTGGCCCTTTCTGTGTGGAGTTTACATGTTCTCCCACAGGTTAAAGTAAGGGTTAGGTGACTCTTAATTGGTTGGATGTGATGTGAATAGAAGTCTTTCTCTGTTTATCTGTCTATGATGATGTCTGACTCTGTCTAGCCCTGGTGACTTGTCCAGAGCGTACCCTACCTCTCACTCTGTGAAAGCTGGGTTAATTTCCAGCCCTAGATACTGAGGTGGATAAGAGATTTAAAAAAATATATGGTAAAGGAACCTCAGCGATAGACTGGCAACCTGTCCAGGGTGTACCCCGCCTCTCGCCCTAAAGACAGCTGGGACATGCTCCAGCGCCCCCGTGACCCTGAAAAGGACACGCGGAAGCGAATGGATGGATATGGTAAAAGATTTTGAAGTTTATTACTAAACTGAGCTAGCCTAAGAGTTTTTAAGCACAGAATTTGCAACAAAACAACTTTAAACATCTTTAATCACATGATGACACTGTGCCAATTTCCTCAGCTACTAAAAAACTACTACGGTGGCAGAAGCCCATATGAGTAGGATCTACTGATGATGTACCTATTTGTATGAGTATTTCAATATGTACGTATGTGTGCATGCTGCTGCCAGACATAAAACCATGAATACAACATTAATACAGTGGATGTTCTGTGCCGTGAGCACTAATCGAGTGGAAAAACATACATCCACATTTTCTACACAACAGCAGGGCAATGCAGCTAAAAGAGCATCAGCTTTCACTGCATCACCATCTCTCTGTCTGTCTCTCTCTACGGCACACTCACTTTCTCTCTGTCCCACACTTTTACCCTATGTGCCCTCATCCCCACTCGTGCTTACTCTTTCTCATTTTTTACATGGCTAAATATCCACTGATCCCTAATCTAGATGCCGATTTTAGATTGTAAGGCCAGTGAGGTCTTGCATTGGATTTAGTCATCAATGTGCGATTTTCATTCCCCTGGTTTTCTCAGCTTTAACCTTCAAGATTTCCACCCCCACCACCCCAACAGAACATATAAGTGATATACATATTAAATTCACTGTTTATATAACATACCTCCCGAACATCACAACTGTCCTCCACACATCTTTACCTTGCTTCCTTATTTCTTACTTCTTATCTTCCTTATTTCTTTCCTCAGTTTCTCTGCTTGCCGGCTTGCTCTCTCCTCTCTCACTGTTTGTCATAAAAAATATGTTTAGCAGCGGTTCAGAGCTTTGTCAAGGCTAATGTTGGTACAAAGGCTTTCTGAGGCAGTGCTGTTATCTCCTCTAGTCTAATCTAGCTAATTAAGGGCATTGCTGGGAGGAAGGTGCTACTATTCTCATCTAACTCCTGGGTGTGCTGTCTCCCCAGTCTGGCAAACTGACTCGTGCTTTTACACACACCTTTGTAAATACAAAGACGTATATGCAGACACACACACACAGATTTGAAAACAATCTCAGATGTACTGAAATATCAGCCATATGCTCACACATTTCTCTCTCTCACACACACATGCAAAAATAACAGACTTTCTGAAACATGCTTCTTAATGGAAGCCAATAAAGTGGAGACTACCAACTGTTCATATAGACTGAGATGGTCCGATGTTACTGCTGATTTAAAAGGAAATAGTTCAGCATTGTTTCGCCTGATTCTCTCCACTCAAGAGCAGAACTGATAGGCTTACTGTCCATTTAGCTTCACATCACAGGGGGGTGGTGCTGATATCACAGCGGGTGGAGGGTAGATGTCAACAAAAATGAGACTTGCATTGCTAAAGACAGATTTTTATTAGAAAATAAAGTAAAACATTTTTCAATTAGTATGTGCTGTGGAGACGTCTGTCGACGCAAATCAAAATGCCAGCTGTATCAGCTAACACTTCCTTCTCTCTCTCTCCAACCTGCCGTGTCACTCTTTTCATTTTCTCTCCCTCCTTTTACTTCTACAGTCTCACACGTCAACAAAATGAATCCTGGAAGGTGATGAAGGAAGAGGTAGTACCAACTCACTTGTCTGTCTCACAACCCTAACTGTGAATCTAGGCAGGTATGTGTGAAGATATATTCTGTTTATGTGCCAGCATATTGGAAGATCTTTAAGTTTTTGTATAAAATCTAGGGGAAGTGGGTGCTATTGTTTCATCTAGAAAGATATTAATTCATTATATTATTGCTAATGGAGAAGATCCCAAGTAATAGACTCAGTACCAACAATCTCCTGGAAGAAACAAAACAAAAAGCAGTCTACCAGTATCAGTTGCCCAAGAACCAACAAACAGATGCAGTGGTGTGTCCAGAGGGGAAACATGGGGTGGCACTCGCCCCATGTTTGAAATATGAAATAGGCACTCCTGGATAAAGTGCCCTATATCTTTAGATAATAGCATTAGCAGGAACAGTACTGGGATATAACTTGTTATATTTAACAAGTTACTTTATAGTGTTTTAATGTACTTTATTTAAGTATTTCTTAAATTAAATATACAGACTTGGTATGGCATATGCACATGCAATTTTCTTTTAGTGCTTGCTATTTCTTTTTCACTATATTTTAAATTCAAATATACTATGTGCTTCACAACAACTGTTTTAAATTGTAAGAAACTGTAATTACCTTTTTTTTGCTTACTTTAAAATATACTGTCGTTTTAATATTTTTAAGCTATAAGTAATGAAATAATTTCCAGCTGCAACATTAAAAAGATACAAATTCATGAATCAACAGTTATGATCTAATAATATCATGTATATTATACATGCTAATATTGTGCCTATTGAGGCTTGGTAAGTTGCAGTGGCAGTTTTCAAGCAATGGCATCTGTATGAGGGCACAGGAGTACCCATGAACATGAAAATTGTAAGTTTTCTACACCAATTTTAATTCCCTGTCTTGTTCTTGGTTCTTCCTGTGCTGTGCTCTTTAAAAATATCCTGGGAACACCTCTGTACTGTACATACGAAGATACTCTAAAAAACCACAAAAACACAGACAGACTCATGGGGATGTGCTGGAGCAAACAAACCTTCTTGATGAACAACTCGTATAGGCACACTCGGGAACACTCACCGCTTCGTCCTGATCTCTCCATGTACATCTTGATGCCCACGGCGATGCCTTCTTCTGTTCCACTCACTATATCCGCTCTTTTGTTTATTATTTCCAATCCTTTCTTCTCTCTGGATAATCCAAAGTTCAACTGCAGTAGAAAGCACTCATAAAGTAGAAAACACTATGAATGATTCGAAAATGTTTAAACTAGACACAACAAAGGGGAGTTGGTGTCAAACTGTGGTGGTGGTTGATTTGCGAAGGATTGTTTTCTGGGGCTTGAGAGAAGGTGTGTGAGGAGGCACACAAGGTGGAGCAGTGTTTCCTGTTGGTGGGAAACTGTGGCTGACTGGTAGACCGCCATTTTCCAACATGAATTCATGGGAAAGAGAATGAGGAGGAGGAGGGGAAGAGGAGCAGCAGTGTACTGGGCTGAGCCTCAAGTCATTCAGCTCAGCCTGCAAGTGTAGTTCTGTGTCATCTACATCGTACTGGAGGTCGCAGTCCGGGCAGTAGCCATGAAACTGAACCTTCTCGCTGAAACGTACACGTTCCCTCTCACGTGGCTCCCTGCCAGGGGCCTTGGGGCATTTGTTCTTTTCATGCCGTAGAAGAGGCATGGGTCTGGGCAATGTAGGAACAAGACCCGACTCAGGGATTCCACTGTCATTAGAAATGAAGCATGGTGTAGAGGAAAATAAATCCCTGTTTGATTTCAATGGGAAAACCCCACCATTCCTTAATAGAGACCCATTAGCCTTGGATAGATTCCCTGATAACACTAAAGTTGGATGAGGCAGATTTTTAACGTTGTGGTCCTCGGCTCTCAGCGGGGTATGCCTTGGTGGTGGTAGAGGTGGGTGTGGCTTCTTGAGTACAGTCAGGACTCCAGGAGGGTTGATGGGGACTGGCATTAGGGAAGCAGGTGTTTTAAATATGCAGTCTTCGGGAAAGAGTTTCATCTTCTCCAGGCTGGATGCAGTGGTAGTGGTGGTGGTGGAGCTCGAGCTGGAGTTCAGTGTGTCTGTCTTTGAGCTGTCTGTTAGTCCGTCTTCCTCCAACTGCAGGTCACAAGTTAGGGTGTCAATCTCATGAACAACCTGTTGGTGATAATAGGAAGTGTAACTATGACAGCTGAAGGAAAAATAAATAAGTGTGTCACAAGAAGATGAAATTAGGCCAGTTTATGGTATAAACTGTAAAAGCTGCGTCCTTATTCACAAGGGATGTCCACAGCAGGTATCTCCACATGTTTCACTTGGCAGAATTTTTATGCTGGATGCCCTTCCTGATTCAAGCCCAGAGGGATTTGTGTCTACTCCTGAGACTCACCCGAGGAGCTTATGATTTGTTAGGAGAATGTGTGTAAACCACTTCACCATGGAGCCACTGGTTATGGTATAAGTTGTAATGATGCAATATTTTGGTCAGTGATTATTAATTAGATTGACCTAATTTTGAAACATTGTTTCTAGAACCAAAGTTCCTCCTAACAGCCAAACTCTTGTTAACAAAAGGTTCTCTTTTTGTCATCCTGGGTGAACTGAGATGAACTAAACCAGCCAAAGCATATGGGAGAGTTTGTTTGGATTTTTTTAGTAAAGAGCAAAAGTTTAACGCTTTAGCAGATAGCCTACTTTAAAATTATTTGTTTTATATCAATAATCTTATTTCCATAATTCCAGAAGCCATCATAATTTTCAATTGTGAAGCCCTACAGAAAATATTTACTATTACAGTCTCATCTAAAAAGTTACCAACTTGGAAAAAATGCATTAGGATATAGGGTAAGAAGATGAAGTAGAGGAAAAGACAAATTAAAATCTTTGTATGTTCTTAATTACATTTTAAAGAGGAAACACTTCCAAATTTATAAGACTGAAGATTGCTTAATACATCCCAATGACAACCACAGTGAGAGAAAATAACTATCAATAGGATTTATGAGAGAAGCCATGAGCCTGCCAGATTCTGACCTAAGTGATAGATTACATCAATCTCATGCACCAGCAGAATTCAAGAGAAGTAGCAGCACCAAACATATCCTGTGATGCAAGACGGAAGAACCATCATTTGTAATATGCAACCAATTTTGAGAAAGAAGAAAAGAGAAAAGATGACAAAGACAAAGGAATGTAAAAAAAAGAACAGTGCAGAGGAGTGAAAAGATCACTAAACTGTTTCTCTCTTATTAATCAAAATACCATGAAAAAGACATAACCGAAGGCTTTGTTTCCTTAAAATGCAACATGTGACAGCAGACCATTAGGAGACATTTAACAAATCTGTAATGAAAAAGAAATTATGTAAAATGCCCTACTAACTTTATCAGAAAGGATATGAATACAGTAGATACAGTAGATATGAAACAGCAGATAGAAAAATACATCTATGTCTTCCCATCGGAAGTTTGCATCCACATCCTACATAATGAAAGTACTTAAGAACTGTTCAGGAAGATAACAAGCAATATGTACTGATAAAAATAAATAAAAACAATAAATAGAGGAAAACTTTAATCAGAGTATAGAATTAAGCCAGTTAAACTTCTCGTCATTTAAGTTGCAGAGAGGGTTAACAGATGCACTAAAGGTGCTACAGTGAGACCCAATACAAGAATGGTTTTATAGATGAAGGCTACTGACCCCTTTTTTCCTCCTCATCTTTTCTGGTTGTTTTTTCACTAGGTTTGCGTTTGGTTATGGTCAGTGTCACTACTGGTAGTGTGAGATACTTGGACCCTAGAAAGGCTGCACAGTCCAACACCTCCGAGCACAGTCTCCAGAGCATGGAGGAGAATTCAGGAGACAGGTAGTTACTCTAGGAGCGCTGGACAGTGTTGTAGAAGATCCTTACCCATCAGCAGGGCATTCCTTTGTGTAAAGAGGTACAGGATGGACATTGCCAGAGGCCTATAAAATGAGCTCCAGCAGACCACCGATGGGAATGTCTCTGACCAAACAATCAGAAATAGACTTAATGAGGGTGGCCGGAGAGCCCAACATCCTCTAGTGGGTCCTGTGCTCACTGCCTGGCACTGTGGAACCTGATGTGGCATTTGCCATAGAACCACAGAATTGGAACGTACACCACTGGCACCCTGTGCTGTTTACAGATGAGACCAGGTTCACCCTTAACACATGTGACACGTGATTTTGGAGACACATGTGATTGTTCAGCATGACCAGTTTGATGATGGGTCAATGATGGTCTAGGGAAGCATATCCATGGAGGGATGCACAGACCTCTACAAGGTGAGCAACAGCACCCTGACTGCCATTAGGAAATGGAATGAAATCCTTGGACCCATTGCTTTAAACTGGCAGACATGCTCACTTGACCTAAATCCAATACAGCCAAATTGAACGCCAGACTGTCCAGGAGCTCAGATCTCCTCACAGATCTAGGAGGAGATGGAAACCCATTACTCATCTCATTAGGAGCAGGTCCTGATGTTGTCAGGCATGCATACAAGCACGCAGGGCCCATACACCAATGAGTACCATTTTGAGTTGCTGCATTTTGGCAAAATGGACTAGTCAGCCGCATAATTTTTTCACTTTGATTTTATGGAATGTCTTTGAATTCAGCCCTCTGTAGGTTGATAATCTTAATTTTTATCAAACAATGTGATATCCTTTCATTCCCAATAAATCCAAAACCCAGTCCATATCAGCAAAGATATCCAGCATGTTTTTTTCCCCATTAAGATCTTATGTGTTTTTAAAATGTTCCTTTAATTTTTTAAAAATTAGACCTGCATATATTCAAGTGCACATGCAAAATGCTATAGCTGAATTTCCTCTAACACTGTCTTATTAGATTGTCACATCATGTTGTTATAAAAAATGTATCAAATGTTGATAACAATATTAACTAGATATCTATAAAAAACAGAGATGAATACTTCATCAATATTCACTGGGAAGTGTTTGACCATTCTTGGAATACACCACGTCGTACTGCTCCCAGCTGCTCTCATATAGCTAACAAATGATGGAAGTAGCCAGCTTAGTGAAGTCCCTTGCTATGCGTTTTCACTTTTGCCATCTTGGTACTTTGATACTGGATGCGATGAACAAATGGTGGATCTGAAGGTTGGATGGACTACACATCTAAGAATGATTAATCTACATATATATGCATGTTTTTTCTTTTTTTGTTTGTTTCTGGAATTGATCAATAGAATTCAGTTTTAACCAGATTATTTAAAAATACTTATGAAACAAAAGCTAAAAGTCTTTTGCTAACACTTTGGTAGTGATTTTTCTTTAGCAATCATTTATTAATCAGTAGAACAATATGTGCTATATTATCGTATATTCTTTATTGACACAATATTAATATTTCAATTTTAAATATCAATGTTATTCTCAGTATGTGATTATATTTATCAGTGGTTCAGGTGGTAGAGCGGGTCGTCTACCAATTGGAGGTCAATGGACCCATCCCAGATACTCCTGTCCATGTGTCAAACCCCCACGTTACTCCAGATGCATCTTTCATAGTTTGAGTTTAAGTGAATATTAGATAAGTGCTTACATATAGATAAAACTGCCTGAATATGTGTGTTGTGTAATTGGATGAATTAAACTTGTTGTAGAAAGTGCTTTCAGTGCTCAAATTAAGTAGAAAGGCACTATGTAAGTACCAGCCCATTAACCATTTACCATCAAAACCAAGGCTATTATAGTTAACTAGAGCTTACTATGAAATCAGTCCAGCTAACTGAACTGAACTAATGAAAAAAGAACAAAGATGTAGACTGTAGAGGAAACTTCCTTCAGTTCTGAACTTCTGCTTTGCCCCTGACAAATTTTAACTACAAAGGTAAATAAAATTAACCTTTTTAGTTATTCAAAATTAAACTGAACAATTTTGAATAACTGGCAATAAATTGAATAACTAAACTCACTAAATAAAAACATTAAAAAGTTGAAATAAAAAAATAAAATAAAAGCTATATTAACCCTAATTGTGACACCTCTAAATTCCAGCTGTCGACCAAACAAGATACACCCACCTAAAACCAAGGGCTGACTAGACAACTAAAATATGATAGACCATGCACACTTTATCTTTAGAAATGTAAGTACTTGCACTTTCAGCACTTCCATGGACACAGATACTCTACTATTCATTTACACCTACAGTGCTCAGGCAATATCTGGATGCTGGAAAGGTTTATAATACATCATAAACATTGCCCAAGAAGTCTTTAACACAGCAGATAAAATTTAATAATCATAGTAAACTCTACTGGGAACTAATAACTGGTACTTAGTAATATAATGCCCACGTTATTGAGGCATTTTCAGAAGTCTTTCCAAAAACCTTCCCTTTAGAGTACATTTCCTTCCTGCTTCTCTTCCCTTGTTGGAGAGTGGTGCTTCCTTTGAAGCCCAGAACTGAAGTGGTGTTGGACATTTTGCTAATGTTTAACTCGGCAGCTCTCATAGGGTCTAAAAAAAGTCTAACATAAGTTGAGCTGAGCATGCATAGGTTCACAGTATCCTAGCCGTTAAAGCAACCAAGGAGAAAATTTCTCTAGAAAGTAAAATTACAACATTTGAGACAAAGATGTTGTTTATCTTTTGGATTAGGGGTTCTCATCTTAGAGTACCCAGTATATTAGCCTGCTCTCAAGCACATTTGCTATCATGTGGTTTTAAATGCATGTGCAAACAGCAACTAAGAAGAGAGAGCAAGTGACTGAGAGGGAGCGATAAAAATAAAGATGAGAAGGCTAGGGCAGAGTGCTAAACTCTCCATGCAGTCTTTAAATGGATAATTTGTTGGGACACACACAAGAGGTAATACCAGTATCCCAGTGTGCAGCCCCTGTTGTAGGCCAGGCAGCTTCGGCGGCAGTGCCAAGCATCTGGGCAGGGTCCCTCCTTGGAGCCAGGCTCGGCTCCAGCCCCGTCTGTGAGTTATAACAGATAACTGCATTTCAAATGGATTACACCCCAAACACTGGCTTTGATAGTAACACCCCCTGGAGGTATGTGTTTAGTGTGTGCGATGTCAGAATAACTGATCCTCTACACAATCTCCCAGAAGCAAAAGAAAAAAAGCAAGAAGGGAAGAAAAAGGAAGGGCACATAACATAAAAAGATCAGAATAGACAGATTACAATGGCTTCTTCTTCTCATTTATCTCTGGTGCCTGCTGTGACATATTGTAAACTGCTGAAAAACACAAAAGGAGTGTAATTTAGTCAAAGTTGCAGGAAAAAAGGAGAGTGAGGGGAACAGAGCGGCAGAAGGAGACAGATGCTGTGTCGGCTACCCATCCATAATGTACCACAGGCTGTACGCAATAGAGTTGTATTAGAATGACAGCTTGTCATGTTAAGGTTAGAGGTTTGGCAGAGCGGACTGGATGCCTGGTGTGCAGTCGGCAGAGGAATGCAAGCATAAAAGCAGGTAAGACTGCAGGTTATTTCAAGTGAGGGGGTGAGACTGATTCAGAGAAACCACCTTAATGTGAATGAAGGGAAATATGTCACAGAGGCAGCTATATATTACTGGTTCTGTGACTGTGAATATAAACCTGAAATATCATCCTGATTTCTACAGAAACATCTGTAGTCTCTCCATCACTGAGATTTGAGACCTCAGTCAGACAGCTCTAAAAGAGTTTTGATCTTTTAGGACTAGAGAGGAGGAGGACAGCCACAAATACACATGCCGAGAGACAAAGAAAGATGAAGATAAGCAAGACACCACAAGGAGTCCAGGGAGGTGACAGGTGAAAAGAAGAAGACCACTTTCTCTCTATTATTTGACAGGAAATCATTTGGACCAACAAAACAGTCAGCATTAAGATGATGAAATTCAATGCAAAATCACCTTCCTGCTTGCACCAACTTGTCCATTAAATATTAATTGTGATCACATTTTTTTCACACTTTCATCAAAGCTTATGAGTCAGGGTGAAGAAGCTGTCCTGCCATTTCCCAGTGCCAAATCTCTCTCATGTTGGTGATAATGATCACATACATTAATGGGAAAGGCAGGAGCACGGTGTGTAGTCTTTTCCAGGCCCCACTGGTGAGGTCGATGTCAGCCCTCCATCTCTTCTCAGTCAAGGATGCTCAGAAAAAGCACCCTTACAGCAAGCCTGTGGAAATAACACGACACATGGCAGAATACTTCTTCTAATTTACCTCTTTGAGCTCTTTAGCTACATCCTTAAGATCTCCCAGGATGGTTTCCAAATTCTCCACGATTGTCTTGATCTCCTTTTTCACTTTTACTTTGGAGACTACTCCTTCAGCTTCTGCATTTGGTGTCCCTGACATTCTTCAGTTTATGGCACAATCTATTTCATGAAGGATCTCAAGTCAAATCCTTTGCTCGCCACGCTGCCACTTTGCCAACGCATTTTCTCTCTCTTTTTTGCTATGTAGTCCCCCAGCTGCCGTCACTTTTTCTCTCCTAAATCACGGCCAGGACGGAGAGAAGTGGCGTCGGGCAGCATTCTATAGCTAACACTAGGCATGCGCAATAGAGCGTAACACACAAAAATAACGGTTATGTCAAAATATTGTATCATACTGCCTGGGAAACAGCGCCCGTCCACAGGTTTATGTCCAACGGCAACAAAAAATGACGTGCCACGGGCATCCTTCACGTCGACAGAGCGCTAAATTCAACATTTTGTTAGAAAATCACCGACGCCAGCGCTTTAAAAATTGTTTAAGCAAAGAAGGGAAAGAAGAAGAAAAAGAAAAAGAAAGAGGCAGCTGTCCGAACCGTTACACAGTTGTTCGTTACTGTAACGGTCCATAATCCTCAGGCATCGACAAAATTATAATAAGCTCCTCCTGTTCTCCACATAATTAATAGATGGTAATGATATACCATGACAGGTAACGACAACCGAGAGGCACGGTCCTCGGAAAAACACCCCGCCAGTTTCATCCTGTCTACATCGCAGCCTCCTTGGAGAGTCTGAGCACAGGATGCTCGTGCGCGGTCTCTCTCGCTGTCCTCACGCGCTCTCTCTCTCTCGCTCCTCCTCACGCTCTCTCTCCCTCTCCCTCTCTCTCTGTTATATCAAGAGGATGCTGCTGATTCAGTCACTTTATTTGGTGTTCTCGTCATTTGCCCTGCAAATTTGTTAACATTTCTTCGTGATTCGGAACGGTTCTGTTTGTTGCGTTCAAATAACATCATTACATCCCCACCACAGGTGGGCTATCCCTACAGTCTAACTACTGCCAGTCCCGCAATATGCATAATTAATATGCAGGACTTCTTATTATCTGTATATAGAATAAATAGTATTGTAAGGGCTGTAAAATAAATGTATTAAATATGACTATTATGAATAAAATTAGGATATTTGCCAACTTTATTTTGTTGATTATTTAGATATGGGAATGTAACGCTAGGAGATAAAAGCAGTGATTTAAAATCAAAAACAACCAAACAATCTGCATCTCTCCAACTGGCTTTGAACTGGCTTATATTGCAACCTGTGAAGCTTCAACTTATTTTAGGCTACAGTTTAATATTCTGATTCACAGAGGAGCAAAGGAGTTCTTAAAATTATTAATTTCTCCCTGATGAACTCTAAACCATCTTCCTGATGGTAGCAACTCATACAAAGAGTACAGAATGTACTCAGATGGATCACACAGCATTCTCTGTGATTGTTTAAGTAGCCTACATACTTGTTCTGTTGTACTGGCTCAGACCGAGTATTGTTGAACTTAACCTGCTGAGTCCTATTTGTTAGAAATGCGTTAGAGAGATACCACTTCATAATTGAAGAAGTAACTCCTAACTGTTTGGAAACTAACATAAACTAAAGGGGGGG